TCCTCAAATAGAAATTGGATGTTTCACCTAAGCACTAATGGTGCTTGTATTGTGTTTTGCATCCAACTTCCTTAGGAAATGAAACATTGTATATTTGTTAGTTTTTCTTGAACAGAAACGAGAGAGGGTAACATATGTTTGTGCTGAAGTATATCGTCAGTATCATTTCGCTAGCTTCCTCGAAGGAAATGTAATTTTTTTTTTCAAAATATTTTTTCAATGAGAGGTTGGTTTTCTAAGATGAATGGTTTGATAGAAATTTTATATATATTGATTTTTGTCATTTTTTTATATTCTTTGGGTAGGGCATTAAAATGTTTTGGGGCAAAGTAAGTGACGAATCTTTGCGTGTGATATTTTCTGAAAAATTGTGAGTTGATAAATAAATTTTCGCATGCTCTAGTTGTTTTCTTGATATTGTCTGTGCGGAAGTTGTGTTTATTACCATATATCCATATTAGACATCCATAGGAATAAAGACTTCTCATATTTAATAGTTTGCATTCTTCAAAGCATTATTTTGATTATAGAATTCTGCAAAGTTTGTAGGCAATTCAAGTTTTTATAGAATAATCCTCCTCATGCAGTTATACAGTATCGTATAATGGACTCTACCATCAGGGAGTAATAAATCATAAATACATTTTTTCTTGATAGTATATCTTTTAATGTATAAAATTTATGAGTTAAAAGTCTCAGTTTTTTTGATAGATATATACAATTTTCATCCCATCTAAGATGTTGGTCCAGGATAACCCCTAAGTATTTAAGTTTATTAGTTTTCTGGAAGGTGTTTTACTAATGGTAACTACTAGCTCTACTTCGAGGACGGACTACTACCTTCACTATGTTCCACATATTGGCGTCGCTTATTATTTGATTCAATTAACAAATCGAGTCTTCTTTTTATTCTTGTCTGTTTGAAGTACATTGCATATATTCGCTCTAAGTTGAGATGAATCTGTTATAGAAGAGAACTTGTCACCTATGAATTCTACCTACTGTTTTCCTCCATTCGAATAATATCAAACACAGGGTTTTGCTTTCCATCATAGTCTAATGAAAGAACATTGACCTACCACCTCTCTCTATCCTCCTTATAGGTGCGCATGATGTTCTTCGAACATTATATGGATTTTCTTTCGTGCGCTTCGAGCAAAAAAACAACTAGACATCCTGTGCGAAGTCGTCTTTTCTTGCTTCATAGATTATCATGGCACACAGATGAAAATTTTGAGTACCCTGCACTGTGCCCGAGATAAGGAGGGCCAGTATGGGCCTCTGAAGTCACTAAACAGTTTGCAATTTCATGGGAAATGGCTGGTGGTCTACCCATTGTGAGACTTTTAAAACGTCTCTGGCCGTTTACGCGCTTGGATTTAGAAGATTTATGGTTTTTTTAAAGTTTGTGCAACAATATACAATGAAAAAGTTCAAGATTTCACCGAATCTACTGCATTTTGTAATTCTCCTTTCGTATAGGATGGTGGTAACTCCTTCCGCTTATAAGATCGGACCATATGAGCTTTAATGTATGCAAGTAATAATTGCAGTGTTATTGCTTTATTCCCCACTGATGAATCAATAATGAAATCATGGGGTATGTGAAACCCATGCTAGGTATCATTTACCCCAGGACGACTTACAAATTGACAAAGAATTACAAAAGAACTTCGACTATTGTCTGAATACCCAGGTTAATTTGAACAGATCATATATTCCACTTCATAGAAGGTTAAATTAGCATAATAATCAATTCACTCATAATATTTTTTCACAGATTTATCAGAAACTCCTTTTTTCTCTATGATGATTTAATTAGATATCCAAATCAGCAATTTGTGCACTATCTTTCCAAGCAGTTTTCCACAACACTGATGAGAACACCAATGGTTTTTTCTTGCCTTTTCATATTCCAGAGTTGGAGTGGTTTCTTATTGATGTTCCAATATCATGGGTTGTGGAAGTTCTCATTAGACTTTTCACTACCTTTGCGGTTGGAGGCTTGAGTTTTCACAAAGATTTCTGAGAATAACTTGTCATAAACCGGATTCTCAAACCTTTTTTGTGTTAATAGGTTGTCAGATAGTTGAATTTGTTCAACTTTTGATTACATCTGGAATAACTTATGTGAGCTCTCATTAGGCTCAACTGGGTTTCCCTGGTGTATTCACTTGTTGAATTGTTGCATTTTGATAAACCAGACTAGTGAGTGACATGTTAGTAAGGTTCTCATTAGACCAACAAAACATTCGCTCCTTAGGGACTTGGTTATTTATTCCCGAATTCATAATGTTTATCTTCACTAATATTTCATAATAAACATTCTTGATTTTTCTTTGACACATGTCATGTCTTGGATGTCATGTCATGCATGTCAACTTCAAATTTACCTTCATTAGTTCAGTACGTTCAATGACAATTAAATCAAGGTCCGTCACTCATCAAGTTCACTTCAACACGACATGTCGCAGCGACAATGACTGCTTAACAAAATGTTTGTGATGTATTTTACCTTAATGTCGTTAGTTTTCAACTGGACCAAAGATATTTTCATGGACGAATTTTCCTGTTAACCTGACGAGTAAGTAACCTCACTTTTATCATTTTCCAAATTCATATTTAACAATTTCAAATTTCGATTTTATATATTGTCTTTTTCAATTCAAAACTTCATCAAAAAGGACCAAGTCACCAATTTATTTTTTAATTTTCACTTTTTCAATATTGAACAAATTTTAAAAAAATATCTTTCGAAAAAATTGTTTCCAAAATATTTTTTCAGAATTTTTTCGAAAAAATTGTTTTCGAATTTTCAATTTCAATTCCTTTCGAATAGCTAAAAGCAGATTACTTACTCACAGGAACTCACTGATGATGACTTAACAGTCGAAAGCGCTCTGCTACGAATATTGAATAAATTATTTTACACGAAATACAAATCTTCCCTTCTTTGGTATATATTCACGAGCACACAGCCCAGCAACCCTCATTCTCCTACTAGAAGCTTCTTGTAAAACAAATTCTGAGAATATCCTGAAGAATATGTCAGTCGATGAATTTCTTTTAGGTTTTTGATAGAACCGAAAGGAGAGTAATCCTCTGAAATGCACTTTTGCAAAATGTCATCCAATTTGTTGTTTCTTTTAATGTGAACTTTGAACACTTCTCATGGACGAACGTTCCATCCATCCATCCATCAACTCAGTCTTCATTACACGTTGCTCTGTGTCCTTGAAGTTTTTGGACGCCCCCTATATGTAACTGATACTGCATCGTATGAAAAATGTTTACATCTTCTGAATGAAATTTTTCATCCAGCTGTAACTAGGAATCACTTCCATCAGTTTCATTTGCTGATGTTGAAGCCACTCTATTATCCTCGGTTTGAGAATGTGCTCTTGATTATATTTATCATTTCTGCTGAATCGAGTCAAGAATATTTCGATTTGTTCATTTCCTCAGCTCTCCACGCAATGACTAACGACACGGAACCCTTAGAATGGAGATGAAATCGTAATACGTGAAGAAACGTGGTGTCTTTCTATCGACATATGGATGGGGATATATCCCTCTTTTCCTTCCGTAGGGGATGATCGTATAATAATAATAATAATAATAATAATAAAGTTTATTTCGAAGTTCGCCAATTTAGTACATTACTTAAATATAAAATTTCCAACAAAATGCGAACTGCAAAAGGGAGATGACAGGCAGTCGTAACTGATATCTAGTGCCATCCCCGTTTAGGTTCGAGATAGCAGCATCTTTTATTGTATAAAACCCAGAAACAGAATAGCTTGAAAAAAGTTAACATCAAACCCAAGCATGACATGTAAATCATTGTAAAAATATATGTATAAATATTAATTTAATAATAAATTCTTATAGGCGAATCTGAAACCGGACAACGACAGACGCTTCCAATCATTACTTACATTATTGTACAGGCGAAAAATGTTGTAAGTGAATGATCGACGAAATATTGCAGTGCGATGAAAAGGAGGAGATAACATACCTCGATATCTCAGATTAAGATTGTGAACGTCGCTTCTATATGTAATTTTGTTATATAGATATGGAGGCGATTTATTTATAATAATTTTATGAAATAAACATGCTGAATGTAATTCCCGTCGCTTAATCATGGACATCCAATTCGCTTCACTCAATTTGTAACTTACTGGTTCAAATTTTCTGATTCCAAAAGTGAATCTCAAACAAGATTTTTGTACTCTTTCGATACGATTTATGTCCGTGTTATCAAGACACGGACCATACACTATATCACGGGGGTTTCTGTTTTTTTAATGTGATCTTTTTCAAAGGCGCTAACGTATCAAAAATATTCAAAATCAATTGATTGAAATATTCAATTCATATCCTATTAATATTGCACGATGCCGGCTAGATTATAGTTGAACGATTTCAATATGCTATAAAATGGGTAGACTATTGTAAGACGTAATACGAATTGACACTATTGGCCCAGTACCAGCTAATTTATTGGCAAGTGAATACAATATGCCAAACAAGGGCCGACGTTCGACTGGTGCAGCTTGGCCATGGCAAGTAATATGCAGAACTATCGTGGACTGTGTCTAGAGGCAGCCAGAGATTTGATGTATGCTGCGTAGTTACTGGAACTTTGCGATTGTAATATTCTGATCTGGCATCATTTGAAGTGTTCAGATCAGTTCAAGTAGGCGTGAACACTTCGAAAAACGTCACATACTGATGTAGAATGGTCTCAGAATTCCAAAGATTTCAAATCATACAGGGGGTTTTATTTTGAACTTTGAAATGCAGAGCCGTTACTGATGAAACCTGAAGTAACCAGAAAGTGGAAAGTATGCGAAAGATTACCTTTTCACATACCATTACCGTAATTTCGATCCACCTCATATTCTAGACGATATTATTTCTTGTCCCATAGATTCGTCGACCTCTGATATGCCTGCAATATTTTTTTTGAATCTGTATATCTTTCGAATGTTCCAGCCGCTCGGCCAGGCAACGTCTGCTACAGCAACGAACATTGCCGCCTGTGGACGGCCGATAGCCACTGCGACTTCCTCATTCCGAATCTGTTCGGCAGATGTCAGTGCAACGCGCCGTTCAAGCAGCTCGGGGATTCCTGCGTGAGGTCCGCCTTCCCAGCGAAGCCTACGGCAATGGTGGCGACCACCGTACGGGAAGCAGAGGTAAGGCCAACAATATCATTCGGGTCAGATCCAGTAGTCGTAGTCCAGTTTTGTTTATTGCGCAACCATAATTCCATGCCACGTGCACCAGGTTGTCTTTTTTCATCATGATCCCTCTTTTCGGACTCCTTAGTCTCGGATTATTCAGGCGATAAAATGAAAATAACGATCATCTAATTACCTAATCGCACTTCGAAGGCGCAAATTCATTACTCCATGGAAGGTACCTTCTGATTGCTAGCTATTCAATGACTTTTAGCCATGAATGACATTCACGTTGGTTCACGTTATAGTCTTATGTTCAACCAGAATTCAGGTGCAACGAGTTGACTGTTACCATATTCGATATGGATACAAAATGTCGGTGAAAAGACATATATGGTTCTTGCAGGATCGAACTGTGTCTATATTGAGGAAAATAAATCTCCCATAATAACGTCCTAAACAACGCCACCAGATCACCGAGACGTTCAGAAGTCGAACTAATTCAAGAATTGACAGGCGTGGGGACAATTTGCCAAAATATATACCATGAAAGTGAAGTGTTTCTCTTAAGTCAATTAACGTATTTTTTTCAGGAGCAGCGGAACATGTTCTGAAACTCATTTTATTTCAATTTTATCGAATAACTGATCATTATGAAAGCCGAACATAATTTTCAAAATGTTGTTGACTGCGATTCCTCAGACTTTCGATGAAAATTCGTCAGGAACATAACCAACTTTGAAATTATGTTCCAATTCCATTCAACTTCCAAACGTACTACACCTTCACGCCAGCATTCCAATGAAGACAAAGCCATAGAGTTTACATTCGAAAAAAAAAAGTTGGTGTTGATTTCAACTACTTTGAAAGGATTTCATTCTCCAAATTGCTTACGAAGTGTGAAGGAATATGTTAAATTGTTGACGTGTCTCGGGAATTTTTAGAAGATTCATTGAGTCGAGATTTCTCCACAGATGACCACAAATTGACACATTCTTGCACACAGATATTCACAAGACTGTCCCATCTGACTGATTAGAACAAAGATGTCCAAAAAATGATTCGTTTGCCCAGCAACCGCGGCTTGTCCTCCCCGCACCATGGTGAGGTTTGACTGTGGGGTAGAAAAAAAAGAAGAGTTGACCAAGAGAGGACGATCGGAAATATTGAAAACCGAAGAGTGAAGAGGACACCATCCAAGATCTGGTGCTATTAGCAGTCTAGTTAGGAATTTATGTCGATGTATCACTCTACCATCAAGTTCTGAAACTCACATTATATTCATTTCATTGAATGACTAATCATTGAGGAAGCTGAACATAATTTTCGAACGATAACAAGGTTACACTTATGGGTCATACAGAAAAATGCTCAGACATATCGGATTCGAATCGATAGCACCTTAATATCAGTAAACGACTGTCTATTGAACTCAAGTGCCTTAGATTGCTAAGATACTGAGGCCGAATGGAAAACCAACAAAAAGATGGATATCTCTGCGTTCAGGAAGCTAAACCAATTCAAGCATTGACTGGCGTGGCTGCATTTCCAGAATATAATTGACCTTATTCCACTTTTTTTTTGGAGGTGGTTGAAATTCTGTATAGACTCCACGAAGTACCATTTTCCTCATGAAAACTATTTTTCCAAACCCTGATATCGTTCATAAAGGAACCAACAATTTTGCTTCTCCGACGAGTAATAGAGAGGGGGGGGGGGGGGTTGTGGTGCCCTTTGCACAGAGCTTAGGCTGTTAACTCTGAATTGTTACCATGTTTCCCAGAGGCCCCGTTATCGACACCAAATAACCTCAGTGCCATTCATCCGTCGTCACGGGATCTCACAACTTAGATTAGGTTGTTAGAGCCTATCATTCATCAATCTGCGGTCACATAATTATACGGGTGAAGACTTCAACTGGAGTGAATTTGCTAGCAAGAAGGTGATTTTTTTTTAAATTCACGATGTACGTCAACGTTTTTATGGTCCCCCGCACACTATACCGCTGAATAAGTCGCGTGCCGAAAAGAAGAGTTAGCCAAGAGAGGACGATCGGAGATATTGAAAACCGAAGAGTGGAGAGGACACCATCCAAGATCTCATGGCATTAGTGGTCTAGTTTGGAATTTATGTCGGTGAATTAATCGCCCATCTACCTATACCTGATCTTTATCAAGTGCGATTTTCAGTGTGAAATGTATAAGCAGAGGCAATCATACATCACAAGATCAACAAAATGTTGGATTCAATTTCACATTAATGCAATCACTTTGCCCTTCTTGTCTATTTGACATTCTGTATTATAAATTACATCAGAACCATTTTGCATTTCAATGAATATACCACGTGGTATTATATTGTGATATTCATCCTCAAGTGAGAATTCATAATTGTATTCGTTTGGTTCCTTCTATCTTTTTATGTAGTGGCATATTATTCTTTATCATCGATTTCATCAGCAAATATCATTGATCACACATACATTATCTCTATTTCATTTCATATCAAAGACTACATCTGGACCAGAAAGTAGTACAACAACTTCAACTACAACTACTGTGTTTCCAATTGTCACTGCTGCACCCACGACTGCAACACAGACCCGTTCGAAGTCGACTACTGAAATTGAGAGCAACGACATCGATTCAAATGCTGTTGTACCTGAAACTATCAAACCTTCGGTATTCTTGAGAACAACTGGCAAGAGCAAGACTACTAAAAAGGTGAGTATCAACAGGTATTTCATTATTCATTCTCAAATATTTGACATGGAATAGAACTTCATGTATGGACATCCTTGACATCCCTATATATGAGTAAACGGATCTATATCTTGTCATAGACTACCCTCAATAAGAATGTCATTGTTCAGTCTGTTATGCCCAGTGTAGGGGTATAATTGATCGACAATCCCAAGTCTGTTTATCCTTGAATACGCACGGAAGGGAATCTATATTCATATTCTAGGAACATCGTGCCTACCTACCTAGGAAGGATGGGGAGAGAAAGTGAGGAAGTAGGTTTCATATTTTTATCGCTTGGTGCGCACGGAAGGGAATTCATATAATGTTTGAAGAACTTCATGCGGAGGAGAGGAGGTAGGAGTTGGTATTCTTTTCGAAATTTTGAAGATTATAAGTTCTTGAAAATACTTCCTTAGGCAATGGATTCCAGAGCTTTCCCGTTCTATAGAGAAACGAGATTTGATATAGTGCTGTTTGACATATTTCAAGGTTGACAACCAAAGGATGTGCTGACTGCGTCTGTCGAGTTCGTCTGGCTGGTATATTGCATTTCAACTGGAAGTATCTTTAAAAAAAGTGGAAGGTCGACCTTTCTACGGTGTTCCAATGATGTCAATGTGTTAGTGAGTGTAGCATCACACAATAGGCGAATGGCTCTTCCCTTGGGACTACTTCCTTCAGAAAAAATCCAAAGTTTTGCCGTTCTATTAAGTATATAAAAGTCAATACACTCTCCGAAAATTCACCAAAGGATCGAATTCACCTCGACTAATCGAAGACGTCAACAAAAACCGAACATTTGGCAAAACGCGACAGTGATTCAGGAGTTTTATAACCGGCACCAATATAGGTAATATTTTTCGGGAAGTTCTGCAAGCCTAGCTAAACGCTCACTGACAAATACGTGCGAGACGATAGGGTCAGGCCTTGATTGCTTCATTAATTCATGGATTCATTGATTCAGTAATTTATTGGTTAATCATTCGACGTTCCATATACAAGGTTGACCTTTTCATTAATCTGGTGACGATTCATCGGTCGCTTTTCGCGTCGGACACTCCTTTCCCAGAAAACCCTCTGGCGAGATGGTACTTGCATTCTTCGATTCAATTGTTTGTTGGTCCCATAGGTAGGAGCAAAGAGTTCAATATTCACCTTCAACGCCGCTGATTTTGTTATTCCCTACAGGCAACTCTTGGTGGATCCAGGGATGAGGCTAGGTGTTGCACTAATGAAAGGGCATGTTACACGATATCCTGGTAGGGATTAGTAGCCATAATTTCCTTTCAAAACACTTGACTCTGTTGCATTTGGTTTTGCTCACAATGAGTTCCATTTTTGGTTCACTTGACTTCTTTCACTTGAGTGCTTCCACACCTACCCTTGTTTTAATTTGATTCGAATTACACTGATTCTCATTGGCACTTGATTCATGCATTCAGTTCACATGCAACTTTTCCCTCTATTCAATCGAATTGTATTATCCTCATTTTTTTGTTACCCATCCAATTCGATTTACACTTGAGTGCTTTCACACCTACCCCTGTTTTAATTTGTTTCAATTCACACTGGTTGTCATTGGCACTTGATTCATTCATTGAGTACACATGCAACCCTTTCCTCTATTCAATTGAATTGTGTTATCCTTATTCACACTCTCGTTGTTTCTTCGCCGCAACTTCCTCCGTGGTCAGTTTACCTCTCGCATGCCATTGCAAACTCCATCAATCCAACCCCAGAGCTTGTCAATCTTCACAAAGGAATGAAGCTGGGGGTGTAGCCTATCACAGAGAAGTCAGCCACCTCAAGAGCTAGGGAAAATCGTACTCACCCCCGTGGTACAAAGATGAGGAAGATCAATCTCCCTTGACGCATGGTGGAGGCTCCAAGTTTTGCCGTGACAATATTCCGAGGTTGATATAGTTCAATAATTTCGTTGGAGAATTGTGTTTATACCATGACCCATAAACTTTCTGGAGACCTCAAAATTATCATGCTCCGGCCGAAACTGGCCTCGGCGATGAATTTTCGTTTTGCACGACATGAAGTTGCTTCGCGTCTTAGGCATACAAATACCTTTTTCTACAAACGTCGAAAAATGTCAAGGTTCGCGCATTGATAACAATTATTTCAGTTTACTATGTTACCATGAAGTAAAACAGTGCGCATTGTTATGTACTATATATGAGATACTTATATTTCAACTTCATGGTCCTCATTCGAGCAAACATCCAGGAAATCATTTATTCCGGAATATTTTACAATAACTTTGTTTTATCTCTTGGAGCGCACGAAAGAATATTCCAATTATGTTCGTGGAACATCGTGCGTACATAGGGAGGATAGGGGGAGGCCTTTTAAGCCAGTTCAACACTATTTTGTATATCAAGCTAAGCATATTTTTACTTCAGAACTATGTTTTTTGACGTTTATAGAAAAAAGATTGTTTGCAACTCGAGCGCGAAATACTTTGGTCATCTCGACTATTTTTAACTCGGCTACGCCTCGTTAACAAAATCAGATCTCGATCACCAAACTAGCATTTCGCGCTCTAGATATAAAAATAAGTAATTATATGTGTTGTAAAATGAAGAAATACTGAAATTCCATAATAAGTTGATGTACATACATACAAATACTTGTGTAAAAACTTCGACATCAAATTATTATTACTCGCATGCTATTGTTTCACTTTCCATAGCAAACTCTCATGGACATGTTTGGTTGTCTATATTATCATAGATAAAGATATTCTCGTGCGGTAGGTATCCTCTATAATTTTTTATATATAAGCTTGGGATTGCATTCCTCTGTTTCCTCACTATAGTTACAACACAGTTCAAACGACTCTGCCCTATACAATTGCTTTCCCATTGGTTATTAATCTTTGCTTCAGGTACCCCCTACTGTGACAACTACAACGCTTCTACCTCTGGCAGAAAGCACTCCAACTTCTTCCATGGACTCCACCACAAGATTTGCTTTAGCAAGCAGATCGACTACAATGGAACCTTCTTCCACCATACCGCCTGAAATTATAGTTCCTTCCGTGACAACAAGTAAGTACCTACCATTATCGTAGGTAGTACGAGTGTATTGATGATTATCAAAATACAAATTCCTTGTCTGATTTCAAGTAACAAATCATGGAGAAAAAAAGGGAATTTTCAGAAATAATCAATAGAATGAGTTGTATTCGTTGGGACCATTTCACTGGGGATACTTGGAATTGCGGGGTGAATTGGAACAAAACTTCATATTATCGTGCATTGTTGTTCAGTATGAACATATACTAGTTGATTCAAATCAAATTGCGCCCAAATATCGGTTCGATAATGTTGTTCATCACATTGAAAATATATGCAGAAATATGACCAAAAAAAAATAGCATTCAAATCTTCATGTCAAAAGACATGATTGATTCAATATACGACTCTCATTCCATATAGGTAATGTTCATGTTCAGTTTATTTCTAGCGAATTGTTGCGATATTACTGCTCAACTTTGAACAGTGTTGCTAATAATTCCTTTTTCATTACGAAAGTCAGAGTTGGAAAAATCGCCGATAACTTGGGCCATGCGTTAATGATTGTTCTAACCTACTTGTGATCATAATAGGTACCTGATAAGAACTTCCCTATACCTACCACTCCAAAATAACTCCTCAAACTCCTCACCACCACCATTGTACCAGTCTATTTTTCTCTTAGGAATTATTTCCGAGAGATTTTTTTAGGTCTTTCATGGAATGCATTCACAACAAGCTTAATGTATTCTCATCAGTTATCTATATGAGTACATCAAAATATTAGGGTTATACATCGAAAACTTGTTGCATATTTACAGAGAGTGTCAGTTTGACAGTTGGAATAATCCAACCGGAAGGATTATTTTGTCAAACTCACACGATTTTCAATTATGCAGGGAGTTTGAGATGTATAATCATGAATAGGTTGGAGTTCGAATCGTATTCGATGCGATTATTTTCTGAACGAACGTCAACATTTTACACGCTTTCTGTTCGTATGTATCAATATGAATTGGTTACTGTGGAAATGATTCTACATTTCTGATTGGCGGAGTTACTCCATGTATATCCACGTATATTAGAAATGATACAAGATAGCTCAACTCAATTGAAGATCCTGATTAGTTTCGGATAGCTTTAGAAAACCCTGAAACAAATACCCATGGTCCACAAGTATGTCCACAAGTCGATAAATTGACTACAACGGGACTTCTGTGATACTCTGTTCCAAGTTTCCGTATCAGCGAGTAACTTGGAAAAGCTACATTCTTTTCTGAACATCATTCCAACGTCTAAACAGACGAAGATAAATATTTGTATAATGTTATTATAGTATATCAACTCAATGGAGAGTTCTGCCTAAGATGATATACCCTAACCCATTTGGCACACAGAGATCGGAAAAAAATTTATACCTACCCATTTCCACACCATTGTTCAGATATAATGTCAAGAAGCATGCCTATTTCAAAAATGTTATTTATATTGAACGTTTGCCGAACAAATGGAAAAATAAAGTGTTACTATGTAATTTCAGGTTATATATGGGTAAAATGACATACTTGTATACATAATATGCGGAAACGTGATGAAGTGTTAGATTAATCATTTATTCGAAGAGAAAATGGGGCCAATCCTCCAAAATGGCTGGAAAATTTGAAAAAAAAAAACGAACGAACGAACAGTGGGTCCATTGTTGGTGATGGTGATGGTGATGCATTTTGGCAATTTTTCTCTACTTCTGGATTTCCATAATTTCAGGTTATCGAGGTCATCAGAAGCTATTGCATAACCCGAATAATGATTCAGAATTCGCGGTTTTCTAAATTGTTGTTCTAAAATTGTTCTATCCGTCATTCGGTTGCCCCCTTACGAAAAACCCTCAGAAGTCTTCGAAAGTCTTGTGCGAGCAAGGAATGACGGGGGCCTAACCTCTCAACGTGTGATCCCAAACACTTTCTTGGGCCATCAGAAAAATGTCTGCAGTCGATGGGAATCGAACCCACGACCGGCAAGCGAATGCGAATTAGAATATAGACACTCTGTCCGCACGGCTACCTAGCCCCCTTCTAAGTCATCATCTTCCCAACTCCTGGCATTTATTGAGAGTTAGAAATGTTTTCCTCAGTTTTGACGTCGTCGTTATACTGTCGACTTCAAATAGGTCGGACATACTGTATGTCATTTCACCCTAATGATGCGTGTGTCATTCTACCCCGAGTGCATCAAATGCCGGAAACATAACATAGTTCCGATTAAATAATGTATCATCCAGGAGATGAAAAATTATGATCATCCTAGCATCAGACACTATAAAGCAGCTTCGAATCATCGACACGTGTTCACAATACTTCCATCAATATAATCTGAAATAATACACTGAACACTTTCAATTCTGAAAAACATTCACAACGATAGAACCATGGATATCAAAGCGACGCCATTAGGTATAAACAGAGTGCTACTAAGATGAATAATCTGGCACTTACATTTCTATATTTGTGCAACGCTCCGAATCCAAATAAGGCCCGCGTATATCATTTCACCAATGTATGTCATTTTAGGCAGAACTCTCGTAAATCTTTTATGATGGGTCGAAATTCCTCACCATGATCAATAACTTCACCATGTATATTTGTATCTTAAATGTGTCCCAAGTATCCCAAGATAGCCCCGCTTTATTGGCATACTTCGAGGTCATATATACTAGTAGTTTCATCGGTTGATAGAAATTAACAATTGATAATGTAAAATGATTGAATTCGTGATGTGACGTCAAATAGGGTTTTAGTTGTCAATTTTTCATGGAAATGAGAAGAGAATGATCATTTCGATAGTGATATTATTTTATCCTTCAAATAAGCAGAATGTGGTACAGGGTGATTCACCATAAATGTCCCCCCCCTCTAGCTCAGTTATTTTTGAACCGATTTTAAAATTTAAAATATCATCTTGAATGATTTTCGATAAACTTTTTTTCCGCTAGATCAGAAAATACAGGGTGCTCGGAACAAACGATCTACAGGGTACTATTTGATTTTTTTAAATGGAACACCCTATTTTTCATTGTATTTTTAGATTCTCCCTGAAGAGCTGATTTGATCAATGTATCACATTTGGGGTCTAGCGGGACTGATTACCGAGATATAGGGTGTTCAAAATCGAGATTTTTAACTTTAGGATTTTTTTTTGTGACGAAACTATTCATTATCGGTCACGCTATTTTCATGTCCGTATCTTTACTTTTTATTTACTATCTACTGACATTTAATAATTGGAACAGATACAGGGTGACCAGAATTCTGAATCTTTAACCACCCTGTAAATGTTCCAATTAAATTTCACTAGATAGTAAATCGATAGTTGGGATGGGACATAGAAGCCATTTTGACCAATAATGAATAGTTTCGGCACAAAAAAATCCTAGAGTTGAAAAATCTCGATTTTGAATACCCTATATATCTCTGTAATCATTCCCGCTAAACCCCAAGTGTGATGCATTGATGAAATCAGCTCTTTAGGAAGAATCTAACAATACAATGAAATACAGGGTGTTCCATTTAAAAAAATCAATTAGGACTCTGTAGATCGTTCGTTCCGAGCACCCTGTATTTTCTGATGCAGCGGGAAAAAAATTTCAGAAAAATCATTTTAGATTATCTTTCAAATTTTTGAATCGGTTCAAAAATAAGTGAGCTAGAGGGAGGGACATTTATGGTGAATCACCATGTACCAATAAAAAAAAACAATTCATGTACTCTAATCTGACGACGCCACACTCAGAAAGGGTCGCAAAATCAAGAAACGATGAATAATTATAATATTTAACAAGTCGAAGCCCTGAGGGGGCAGAAGGACGATCTAGCCTTCATAGCCATCTAGTGGCTTAAGTGCAAAGGTGTATGGTAGATTCAACAATCATACCTTGCGACTAAGTCGTGCATATAGACCCCTACGTCTATATGCTTACAGAAAAGACATCCATGTCAGATTCTGTAGACTATCGCAACACCTGTAATTCTCAAAGTGGTTTAATGTTCCACTAACAGATGGTGATAAACCTAGAATCTCAAGACTAAGAGATTCTAGGGAAATTTCGTGAATCGATTGTCAGCTGATGCAAGACAGGCTGTTTCGACTTGCCATAAGTCTCATCAGTTGCACTGGCCAGCTGACAATCGATTCACGAAGGGTACCTCCATATATCTAACAAGTCGAAGCCCTGAGGGGGCAGAAGGACGATCTAGCCTTCATAGCCATCTAGTGGCTTAAGTGCAAAGGTGTATGGTAGATTCAACAATCATACCTTGCGACTAAGTCGTGCATATAGACCCCTACGTCTATATGCTTACAGAAAAGACATCCAAGTCAGATTCTGTAGACTATCGCAACACCTGTAATTCTCAAAGTGGTTTAATGTTCCACTAACAGATGGTGATAAACCTAGAATCTCAAGACTAAGAGATTCTAGGGAAATTTCGTGAATCGATTGTCAGCTGATGCAAGACAGACTGTTTCGACTTGCCATAAGTCTCATCAGTTGCACTGGCCAGCTGACAATCGATTCACGAAGGGTACCTCCATATATCTAACAAGTCGAAGCCCTGAGGGGACAGAAGGACGATCTAGCCTTCATAGCCATCTAGTGGCTTAAGTGCAAAGGTGTATGGTAGATTCAACAATCATACCTTGCGACTAAGTCGTGCATATAGACCCCTACGTCTATATGCTTACAGAAAAGACATCCATGTCAGATTCTGTAGACTATCGCAACACCTGTAATTCTCAAAGTGGTTTAATGTTCCACTAACAGATGGTGATAAACCTTAGAATCTCAAGACTAAGAGATTCTAGGGAAATTTCGTGAATCGATTGTCAGCTGATGCAAGACAGACTGTTTCGACTTGCCATAAGTCTCATCAGTTGCACTGGCCAGCTGACAATCGATTCACGAAGGGTACCTCCATATATCTAACAAGTCGAAGCCCTGAGGGGGCAGAAGGACGATTATTATCATCAATTATAATATTCTTGTTAATCTCATGATTTTGCGAATTTTCTGCACTCTTCCTACAAAATAACCATAATTGTTTCTAATTCACATTTTGAACATTGTTGCCTTCCTTGTACAAGTAGACTAATTTTCATAATTCCATTGAACACTAATAAAATACATATTTTGCAAATTTTTAGCTGTTCTTTTCCATTTTCGGTTGAGTAATTGGCCTGACTACCTTTCCAGCTTTACCACCTACAACCACAGGTATTAGAACCAGAGTGGAAACCGGAGATGAAGCAGTCAGTCTAGGTTTACCTTGTGTAACAGATATGCAGTGCAGAATGGCAGATCCTTCTTCTCGCTGCCTAGAAGGTGTTTGCGATTGTGCTGTCAGAACGAACGAGACAAAATCATGTTCGGCAAGAAATCGAGGATGCATACCAGGAACATTCCAGGTAACATTCATCATTCAGAAACAAATTCTGTGATGATTTTCAATGCCGTCTCCATATTATATTTTCGTCACACCTTCATGCCAGTGATTTGAGTGCGTTTCAGTCACAAGTGTCCCAATAACCTAGGTCATTCAATGGATGTCCATTTCAGGCCCAAAAGAGGTTCGGATGACCATGGACAAGAAATGAACATCCATTGGATGAACCAAAATGCTTATCCAATGGAATACCACTGTCACTATTTCAATGGATAGCAGAAAAAGTTCCGGATATTCATGGACATGGCATATCCGATGAATATCTGTTATTTATGTTTTCCGTCGCTTGAATCGTTCGTGTTCGCTGTTATTGTATGCAGAAGTTCGTATCGTTTGAGGCAGATTCATGCAGCAATATAGCCATAGTTACATTTTCATTATGTTATTACATTTTTGCAAGCAACAGTGAACTAATCATCCGAGGTCAATTTGAGGTTTTGCGTCATGATTACTTTTCAAATTTGTTCACATAATATTTCAGGATGAGCGTTTGTGTTCTTTCATTTATTATTTCTTAGAGAAATCATCCATCGTGATATAATATGAAATAGTCAATAAGGATCTAAATCTCTCAATTAACCCAATGCAGTGAATAGGGCATTAGCCAGCTCTCATGAGCGATCCAAATAACTCATCACAATTCATTGGAGCTCGCAAAAAGATCCCATCAGAGACTAGTTGCTGACTTGCAAACGTCTCCACCTCAACCATCAGTACCTATCAGTACCTAACAGTACCAGTCTTGTTAGAATATATGTCTATATAATCGTTGTAGATTTGATAGCTGAGAAAACAAGAATAGCATTCATAGTTTATGAGTTATCGAAAATGAGATCAATATCATCACATACGGAGTAGTAGTCTATGAAGACAGACCTATTCGAGCCACCACAGGAACAGGAACATTCAAAGGATGGCATCTGCATAATTTCGTTACTTGTGCAATAAGATCGTGCACCTCGTCGCAATGAAGGTTATTCTAGACCTCAGTCCTCTCCATTTGGTTGAGGAATAGGTCCTAGAGAGCACGAGATATAATATTATGAGAAAAATAGTATGCAAGAGCAGGCAGATCTAACCAGCAAATCTGGTCTGTCTTCAGTACTCAATTTGCATAGGAACTACGAAAAAGACAAGATATTATTATGTCGAGTAGTCAATCAGTCATCGAAGAGCTGAACACTATGGCACTATGATTATTAGTTCTCAAATGGTGTGGGAATGCCGGTAAAAACTGAGCGAGTCAGCGAACAGAAATATAGTCACTCCATTTATGGGTTCCGGAACTCTCCACATGCTTCGTATAACGGCATTCCTAATGGTACATTGATGACCAAAAGAATACCTTCTGAGGCATAAAATAATGAATGCAAATTTCGTGAATAAGAGGAAACACTACCCTTTCAGTCACGACTTTTCATTTTTTCAGTAAAAAATTTCTCGTGAAAGTGGGGGTTGAAGTGATTTTTCATATGATTTTTGAGAATTTTTTGAAGTCCGTACGGCCTTGATTTTTCTAAAAAAAATCATGTTCGTTTCAACGAACATGGTGACTCTACGAGAAGGAAAGGAAATAAATAGCTACAACATTGTGATTTATTTCATATGGTAATCCTTGAAACAATTACGATCACGAGTAATACATAAATGTACACTACATTTCATACAATTGAAATGTGTTTTTCTGAGGCAAGCTCCATTTTTGCACCTTGCTCCATCCCTACTTCCATCGAATATTGGTAAATGGCCCACTTCATCGAGTCACCATGTTCGTTCTAACGTACATATGATTTTTCTCGAATTAGTGTATGAAAAAATATGATATTTGATCATTTCGTTTTTCATATATTATAATGAACATATGAGGCACTGAAAAATAAATTTTGAAACTCAAATTCACTCACTATTTTATCGAAACAAACACGAGAAATGTGTTCATGAACAATAACAGCTGACTTACTGTACACACAGAAGGTAAATAAGCGAAACTTGTATAATACCCCAAGAGATAGTGCTACCTATAACGTTTTCACTTGAATAGTCAGTGGAAAGAAAATAAGGGACTGCTTCCTTTTGTGGAAATTGAGATAAAAAAAAAGAGATATCAAATAAGTCGAAATATCTAATGATTTCTTCACGTTTTCCTGTGATACAAACAAAAATACTTTGAAAGATCTTTAATATCCACTAAATCACTCACCTCGAGTTCGAAGAGCAGCACATGGGAATGCTATTTATCTCTGGATCTGTGTAGTTCAGGGGCGCCCCAATGGTCCAGATTTGCTTCTTGGTGGTATGAAACATCCAATGGAGACGTCCTCAAATTATATAACGGTTGCCCGTCGCGATTGACGAAAAAGCACACAACCGAGCGGTTCCGTAGAACTCCAAAAATTTACAAATAAAGCGTCCTGCCTACGAGGAGGTCAAAATGCGTACTGAGTTGGCCTTGTACCGGAGATTTTTCCTCACACCGGCTGTGTCTCTTCAATCGAGCAATTTAGTGGAATATCGCAAATGTATGTTTTGTTTTTTTTTTACTTTTTTTTAGAAATGAATAGATCACTTGATATTCGACTGCAAAGATTTGAACTATTTATCATTTAGGTATACATATATCTATGTATATGATTTTGAAAAACCCAACATATTCCCCCCGGAAAATGCGAATAAATGTTGCATTTAACTAATACCCAAAAAAAATTCCTGAATTATTTTCAGATGAAAAAATAACGAAAGAAAAAAAAACAATCCTGAGACGTTCACATACATAAAATCATTCTCTCGAGAGCTAATTCTCGTGATCAGAAATAGGGAGCTTGCACAATTTAACAAGGGGCCGTCTGAGTTCTCCCTGAGCTGTTTTTACCGTGGCTACTCGCGCTACACCATCTGCACCAGGGTGCAACTCTGTAATACGACCCATCAACCATTGCAGCGGCGGCGCATTATCATTTTTAATCAAAACAAGTGTTCCCAACGAAACCGGACTATCCTTGTGAAACCACTTACTACGCTGCTGCAATGTGTGAAGGTATTCAAGCCTCCAACGTCGCCAAAAATCCTGATGCAGACGCTGCAACATTTGCCATCGACTTAAGCGATTCATCGATACCTCCGTTAGGTCTGCCTCAGGGACAGCGCTAGGCGGTTCAACAAACAAAAAATGTCCTGGCGTAAGTGCGGAGAAATCGTTAGGGTCTGTGCTGAAGGGTGTCAATGGACGTGAGTTGAGGACCGATTCAATTTGCACTAGAAGCGTATAGAATTCTTCATAATTCGAAATTTGAGAACCTAAAACTCGGGTTAAATGACTTTTCACGGACTTAATCCCTGCTTCCCAGATACCACCGAAGTGGGGAGCATTTGCTGGCAGCGTTTTAAATTCAATATTCAATGGGATAGCAGTATTCTCAACATATTCTCTCATCAGACGGGCTGCTCCTATAAAATTAGTTCCTCGATCTGAATATATGGTTGAGCATCGACCCCTTCGCGCAACAAATCGGCGAAGGGCTGCAATAAACGTTTCACTCGACAAATCTGTAGCCAATTCGAGATGTAGAGCTTTTGTGGCGAGGCAAACAAATAGACAAATATAAGCTTTATGAGTTTTGAAACCACGGTGGCGACTCATAGTGATAGCATAAGGACCTCCGTAATCAACTCCCGCGTGAGCAAAGGGCTTAGCTTGGGAGATTCGAGGCAACGGAAGATTGCCCATGGGAGGCTGTAGAGGTACGGGGCGAATTCTCCAGCATATTACACATTTTTCGACTACCGAACGAATGGCGCGTTTAGAACCGAGGATCCAAAATTTTTGTGCCAATAAGAACTGCACTGTACGTATGCCTGCATGCAAATAAACGATATGATAGTATTCAACTAATAACTGTGTCAAACGACTGCGATTCGGTAGCAAAATTGGGTGTTTCTTGTCATATTAATATATGTCAAAGTTGAATAGGTTGAGCGACCCCCCACACGAAGTATACCTTCTGAATCAAAAAAAGGACTTAATTTCTGGAGTGGTTTCGTGAAACAATTAGTTTCTATTTCCTTATTGAATGACAATAATTGAGTTTGCTTGACGAGCAGCTTCAATGCTTCATCAAACTCAGAAACTTTGAAGCCACCTGCCCGTTTTTTATCCGTATTTTTCACATTATACAAAAATCTAAGGCAATAGGTTAATACCCTTTGCAACATAGCAAAGGAGGAAAAGCGATTCAATAAATTGTCCAAAATATTAGATTCTATTTGAGTAATCAAACAACTTTTTCGTTCCTCTTCGTGAGTTTCAGATAGATTGCGATTATTAATATCTAACCAAAATGTTTCCTGGATATCAATGAGAAACGGAGGACCATGAAACCACATCTGGTTTTCGATCATTTCTCCAGGTGATAACCCCCGGGAAGATGCATCAGCTGGGTTCAACTCTGATCTAACAAACCACCAAGCCGAGGAGGGTAGTTTATCTTGAATGAAAGCAACCCGGTTTGAAACAAAAGTAGGCCATCGAAACGCATCCGAGCGTATCCAGGCTAAGACAATTTGCGAGTCTGAATATGCACAACATCTAGAGAATGTAAACTTCCCGCGATATACATCCAAAACCCACATCATCATTCTTGTGAGTAACACTGCCCCACATAATTCTAAACGCGGAATAGAAATTACTTTTATTGGAGCGACTTTAGATTTTCCGCATACAAAAAATGTTGAAATTTTTCCATTTTGTGACGTAAATCGAAAATAGATAACACCACCGTAGCCTTTCGTGGACGCGTCAGAAAATCCGTGTATCTCCACCGATACGAAATCATCGGGTGTTAATCGGCGTGGAACCCTAAGCTGCGACAACAAATTTAACTCGTTTTTATATTTATTCCACACCCTCAACATATCAGCTGGTGGGCTGTCATCCCAATCTAAACCGCGTATCCAAAACTGCTGGAT